TCCAAGCAGGTCCCTCAGGCCATGCTCTTCCCTCTTCAAGTCCAGCATTGTGTTCCAGTTTTTTGTCTTGCTCCTGCCTCTCAGGAACCTGAAATTCCTGACCACCACAACCCTGATCCATTATTCCTTGTTTGTATGTATGAGGTCTAGCTGTGTGCCTCCCTTCATTAGCTCCTTGATCACCTGTGTCAGCAAGTAAACGCACTCCAGACGTCTCCTAGATTGCTTGTTCCTTGCTCTCTTGCCCCTCCAGCAGATACTGGGGTAATTCAAGTTCCCCATGAGTACTAGGGTCTGTGAACATGAGGCTTCTAAAACTTTTCTGAAGAAGGCCTCATCTATTTCATCCTCCTTTTCTGGCAGTTTGTATCAGGTATCCATCACATCATATAAGACTTTGGTCTGCCCTCTAACCCTAACCCATAAACTTTCAGATGGCTCATCACTTGTCCCTGGGCAGAGCTCCACATCTTTCCACCTCACTCAGTCCATTATTTCCCCACTTTCTTGTAAGTTATCATCTCCATTCCCCCCCACTCCTGGTCCTGGCTCTCTCCTCCCCACATTAGCCAGATTGTGGCAAAGATGCTTCTGCCTCATCTTGGCAGGTGGATTCCAACTTTTCCTAGCAGGCCTTCCTTGAACTCCTTGCCCAATCTCCAATTAAATTGTCCCAATACACAACAATTATTATATTAACATCCAAACAAATTTAAAATAAAACCTAACAATCACTACAGATATAGCCTTAGCTGAAAGGCAGTATCTCTATAATGCAATCAAATATCAAGAAAATCAAACATGTTTTACATGAACTCATTTTGTAATATTGACACAGTTCTCCATTTAAATAAGGGCTTTTGATTGTTCTTGTTAAAGAGTCAAATAGCAGAACTTTTAAAAAAAGTTTGTTACTCACAGTGGTTGAGAATGTCAAATCCCTGGTCAGAAGAGACTGCTTGGTGAAGTCCTAACCACCATCCAGAAATTGATTTTAATGGAAGTGTTGACACAGTGTTAGCTATACCATCACAAGTATAACAGCAATACATTATTCCCTTATGGTAACAGACAGTGTTGAAGCTGCCCTGTAATTTGGCACAGAACATTTCTATACTAATGTAATTTGACAATGTTATTATGTCTGCTATTTTCTATGTCATAATAGCAGTATTTGTTTCCACAAACATGACATTACGTTCACTAATATAGCTATACTTAAAGACTGCCCAAGTAAAAACAGATGTAAACTTATAGAAAGCAGATAATCTCTCATAGATTTGTTTTGTTTTGCTAGAGTAATTTTCAACCCTACTCTTATAAAAAAGCTGAATTCCCTGAGAGGATAGCTTTCACTACATAACCTGCTGTTAGAAGTAGTTACGATGTTCATGATGTGTTTTCTCAAAGGAGTTGTATGCAGCCATCCATTTGTAAGAATAGCCATTAACTGTCCTTTTAGTGCAGTCTTCTATACAATCTTATTTTGTAGCAACAACTGCTACTGGCCTGATTTACACTTATCACTGTAACACTTCTGTCTATCACATCTAAAGAGCACCATTGCCCTGAATAACCAAGTGTCCTGTCACATCAAAAGATAAAATGATAATCTGTAGAGCATCTCAGGGTCAAAACTTCCCACACCTTGTTTATTTTCCAGTAAATAAGAAGCTGCAGCACACAGAATGTTCCCACCTGTGCCACCACAGAGGCTTGTGGTCTACAGGCATTCCATACTCACTACAGTTGAGTACTGAGATTTGCAACTAAGCACAAGTTTTATGGATTAAGCTGTGGGTGTTCCTGACTACAGCTGTAAAACTGTGGCCTTCCTGTTGGCTGGCCCAGGTCATTTTCCATAGAAGTACATACCCTAAACCTCTCCTCCTCTCTAGCAGATACACCGAGGACACTCTTGGACTGGGAAAGAAACAACCTGCCTGACATGGTGCTTATTTTGAGAGGTCATTAAAAAAAAATCTTCATTTTAAGCTGTGCACATTTTCACCTGGGATAAGACACAGAACAGCACAGGAATAATAATTTGCTGTTATAGGAAAGACTACAGAAACTTCTTGCACACTGTATTAGTAGGATGTATTATAACAGTTTTCAAGAAGCTATTTCTTTCATTATTTCCCTCAAACTCTCTGTTTTGGAAATTAAAGACAAGAACAATATACGAGACATTTACATTGTAAAGCCTAGGAATGATGCCACGTCAAATCTTCATGCACCGAGGTTACTACAGGAAACATGCTGAAAGTATCAACCCAAATGTAGGAAAGTACTTTTTGCACATTTATGCAAACTGCAGATGATACAAAACTGGGAGGAGTGGTTGATAGACCAGATGCAAGTGCTGCCAGTCAGAGGGAGGCTGACAAGCTGGAGAAGTGGGCTGACAAGAACCTAATAAAGCAAAGGAAAATACCAAATCCTGCACGCGGGGAGGAATAATACACAGGGACAGGCTGGGGCCTGATCAGCTGGAAAACAGCTTTGCAGAAAAGGATCTGGGTGTTCTGGTAGACACCATTAGTCAACAATGTGCTCCTGCAGCAAAGAAGGCCAACAGCGTCATTGGCTGCATTAGTTATTTTTCATTATAAAACATTTAACTGGTCGCTTGGTGTCATTTCACCTTAATTTAGTCTGAGGGGATTTATAGAACTTTATTTATCTCCTCTTGCTTCTGAGGTGAAATGTAAAACTCCTCACTAAAAGAAAGACATTGAAGTATCGGAGCATGTCCAAAGAAGAGCAAAGCTGGTGAAGGCCATAGAAACATGCTTACACGCATTGCTCAGGAACATGCCTAAATACTTCTGAAGAGAATGTGTTTTTCAGGAACAAGCAGGTGCTACTATTCCAGATCTGTCACTGGAATCTTTCTTCATGTGAAGGGAATTTATCTTACTTCAGTGTTGCAGAAGTTTAGCCTGTGTTGTGCAGCCTATAAAAGTTACTAAAAGCTGTGGTAACATTTCATCATTCCTTTTCCCATTATGCTCTTCCCAAACACAGCACAGAAGTTTAGGAGCATCTAGACGACACTGAGATTATGGCATCACTTGTCCTCCTTTCCCTCACATATACCATTACAAAAAATCTCTCGTTAGATTTGCTTTGCAGATTTTTAGTATCTGAACTAATTTGAGGACCCAAGATAAAGCAAGAAGCCAAACCTATTATATTTACCAGACTCTGCATCCTGTTACAAAACTTCCATATTTAGGATAAATTTGTATTTCATGTTTGTGATAGAATATTAAAAAAATATTTATCTGGGAAAAAAGGAGGCATTTTAGGCAGCCATGTACTAAGGGTACTCCTTTACCATCATCAGAAATAGTATATTGAGAGTTATCTGATTGTTTACAATGCAGTCCATAATACAAATGAGCCTGCACAGATTGGTAAGTATTTTTCTTACATGAGTTCATCAGTTCGCCAAATGTATGCAATAGCTGGAACTTGAAAAAATAATTCATAGGCTATTCCAGGTCCATACTAAGAAAAATTTATAGTTACTACTAAGAAAAATTTATAAACAGAGTTTTTCCTTTGCTAGATGTAGAATATATAACTTCTTATTCATAGTTTTTAGTTACTTTTGGAAGAACTCAAAGAACAGAGAAGAACAGAAATAACAACTTAGGAGTAAAATAGAAACAAATCATCTTCTCTTCTAGCAGACAGGGGACTGAAATCTAAAAAAAAAAAAAAAATGTGTATATATATGTTTAGCAGTATGACTAATCATTCACATTGTTGGGAAGGGCAAACTCATATACATAATGTAAACCCAAAACACTGCTCAAACTATCAAAAGTTTTCTGATGCCACATTTCATTTCTACCATGACAGCAACTGCAGAAAAATAGACTGAGATTAGTCCTTTCCATAGTTTTCAAACATGGTCAGAAGTAGAAAAGTGGAACTTTCATGACAATAATTAATGTCACTTTTACATATAATTCATTTTCTAGCCTTGTACTAGATACAATTTGAGCCAAAAGCTTTTCAGATTATATTTTTTCAGTTACTTTAGGGTTTGTCCAAGAAGGTACACCTTGCTGTAGAGTGGAGAACCAGAACAAGACATAAAAATCTTAAATGTTTGACTAGACAGTTATACAAACACTTTCTACCATCAGTCATTCATTCAGATAAATGTATACACATAGAAATAAAAAGGCCTAGCCTTATAGAAATTCCCTCTTAACATGGATATAAAAATGTGCAACATTTGGATATTTCAAATATGGTAAGTTAAAAAGAAAACTCAGTTGTTTGTTTTAATCAGTTACCATGGATCATTATGGCTCTTGCATTACTATTCCACTTTCACTGCATAAGTCTATTCAGATCAATACGGCTAGATTGGAATAAGTCTAGATTATGACATTTGTGAATCAGGTCCCTTATTTTTGACACATTTCCTAAAAGACCAGATGGTTAGTGTATGTTATGTAGTTTTATTCACATGAAATTTAAAAGAACTAAAATACTTGGCGTGCTTTTATTATAGGAATGCTTAGTGTGTCACCTAAAGAAACCTACAAAGGGAGATAATGAGTCTTGTCAACTGTTTCACAGTAATTATAGCTCTCATGATATAATGCTACAAAATTACAATATAGCTAAAGATAGCAAAATGTAAAAGGCTTTTTAAACAAGGGGAAAAAAACCCCAAACCTATTTGTAACATTTATGCAAGAGAAGGATTATTTCAAACAGATAAACGTCAACGTATTAAACATGTAATCAAGTGTAATAAAACCAAATTCTGTCAATGTTTGATACTGCACATTGTCCAAAATTTATACTGTATATTTTAGCTATGTTCTTCCCACAAGCTTTACAGTTTTTCACAAGGTTTGTCAGTTCATTTAAATACCTAATATTAAAATAATATAAAGCTTCAGACACTTGCTTCAAATATCGCCTTAGAGCTCTTGAGCGTTCAGATCAGCATTTTTTAGTGTACTTACGGTCATTGCATAACGGTCCACTAAAGGAGGTCATACTACAGTCACAACTGAATCCATCCCACTGCTGTAAGCACACTCCCTGGTTTGCGCATGAATCCTCTTGGCATGTTGTGCTGGGGCCTGATGAGAACACACAAAAAACGACTTGCACTTTGTCTTCCAAAGAAAGGTCTTTCTCACTGGATCACTTTAACAGGTTGCCAGCATCTCAAATCAAATGAGCAAGGATTTACCAGATAAAACACATAAAAACTTGCTGATTTTGTAGCAGCATGTAGTATTAAAAGGGTGGGTTTGCTTTAGTTTTAAGATTAATATGTCAAACACGTAAGAATGCACAAACCGAAGCAGAGCTATTGAAGGTATGGTGGGAATGTTAATTTTGTTGCAAGTTATTTGTTAATCTCATCTCAGAACATTAACTGGATAAAAGTTTTCTAAAAACTTCAGTATTAATTTTTCCTGTAAATACATTTGAACCAGCAAAGCCAAATGACACAGAAAGCAAAGCTCTGGGAGTGAAAGTAAAGAGTGGAAATAAAATGAAAAGCAAAACAAACCAAAATAATAAAATTAAGGTACAGTATACAATGTTTTAATCCCACAAATTATTTTAAATTATTTTGGTCTGAAATTAGGAGGAGTTTGGGATTCTTTGTCAGGAATTTTGGCAAGTACTGATCCACATGCTTCAGGGATCTCATGCAGGTTCCTTTTTTAAGGGGAAGTGCAGAAAATCAGACTACTAATGAACTGGCATGCCAAAACGTGACATATGCATGAAAAACAAAGCTACTCTATTTCTAGCAAATCATAACTAGACTACTGAAACAAAGAAATTTGAAAAGGAATGATCAAAGCACTAAAGCAATCACTATACAAACATATTCAAGACTGAAAGCCTTTATGCAAGCTATGCTGGAAAACGAAGGTTCATGTAAACCTATTGTTTTAGAGGTGTGAAAGATAAAATCTGAAACAAGGTAACACCTCAGTTCTGAAATATACAGAGCGTTTATCGCAGAAATCCAACTGTGCATTGAGGTTTCAGTCTTGTTTAATACACAGAGGGCTATCTACCTTGCAAATCAGCTTTCATCAATGCAACTTTGTCAGCAAAATAAAAAAGCAAAATATATTAAATGTTAGTAAGCAATATTGAAATGGCAGCAAACACAGGAAAAAACGTTCAGAGTAAAGTGCATGCTGCTGTTAAAGTGAGGAAGAAATGCCATATAATGCAAACAAATTAATGCTAATAGCCATAAATCTTCAGGCAAGCCAAAATAAGAAAGCAGTAATTTGCCAGTATTTTACTACAAATACAATGGTTAATTGAGCTGATGACATGTAATGAAGGAAAATTAAAAGGTTTTTTTGTTTTTTGTTGGTTTCCCCCCCCCCCCCCTCGGATAGATATGAATGCATTAGTAGAGTAAATGCATGACTGAATCCTGACTAGCCATTTGTCATGTTCAGATACACTGAATTCAGGAATAATTAGCACCATCATCCTCTCTGGTCTTTCTTTTTTCTAGCCCTTTCTTTGTGACTGGTGAATGAAGACTGAAATACAGACCATGAACTACAGAATACTATGAGCTCACACACATTTCATACTGACTTTTGACACTCTAAGGAAAAATTTGCTTCTGGGATTATAAACTTCTCCACAATTGCTTTGGAGAAGACACATCAATATCTACTTGAAACTCCTACTGCTAGTCATTGATGACAGGGCAAAACCAGTACAAGGATTATATAAATATCTTAAACCATCTTGTAGAGAGGAATCCACTTAACCCTTTCACATTACAGCTCCTTCAGAGATCTCAGTGTTGGATTTTCTTTTAATTTGCCAGTATTTCAGAAAAACCCTTATCAATATGATTTAAGTCAGTTCAATGGCCACTTGCTTTAAAAGGCACTGCTCTAGCACATCTCTGAACCAGGGTCTGAACAGTCACTAGTGCAATTAAGAATGAGGGTAATGTACTCTGCATCCCTGTTTTAGTAAAACTATTAATGGTTCTATTTTATCATGTTCTAATAATAATAATAATTATTATTATTATTACTCATAAGTGATGGCCTGCAGTAGGCATAAATAGGATAGTGATTTCCTATTCTTTGGAGTTTTGAGCCCAGAAGTTTAAACATTTGGGCATTACATCACCCTGGGGATTATAATGACAGAATCCCGTAGCTGACAAGACAAGACACATTTTTTTCTCACCAGATTCTGCTACTCAGAAACTTTACAAAAATGAAGTGAAAATATCTGTAGGTGTTTAAATGTTATATATGCATGCATTTATTTACACTTTAGTTATGCAATGTTAAATTTCCTCATCTTTGTAAAAGTGGAGCAAAAGTCACAAGGACTTAAAAGTACATAAACTGCAGGTCCCTGCAGGCACATTAAAAAGTGCATGTTAAAACACACATTTGGAAACACTACAGATAGAATCTTGTTATAAAGCAGGGTATTTTGCTTTTTATGAAATTGTTTCTTAGCACTTTTGGCTTATCTATAGTAGTCGATATTTAAAAATGGCCATTAAGACTCACATACATCTAAGAATTTCTTGTAGTAAAAGTACATTTTTTAAAAAAAATTAAAGAACAAAGGAGGACTGTTTAATGTCTGTAAATATTATAATATCTACCATAACAGGTTCATTTTTTCCTATATATATTACAGAACTAAGCTATTTAGTAAAAATACTGCAATACACTCTTCTCAAGCACTCACCTTTTGATTCACATTCTATTTAAATATTCTAATTTATTCAGTCCTCACTGAATAATTTCGCTTCAGACTTTTTTAATTGACTGGATTTGGTCTCATTTACATTTGTCTTGTGTGAGAGCTTACATGCTGTGTATTACACAAAAAGTATTATTAAGTAGCATGTACAAAGTTTTACTATATGTTGCAAAAATAAATTCCCCGTCACCACCAAGAGCCTTCACATATGTTAATACTTTGAAACTTTTTCATACGGTTTATTTAATATATATATTATATTATATATGCACATGCATGCACACAGTGCATTTTCCTCCTAAATATATTAAAAGTATTTTTTATCATTCCGTAATTTCTATAATTCTGCTTTATGTAAAGTGTGAAAATAAAGTACAATGGATTTGACTAGAGAAAAACAGGGCTGATGCTCACAACCTGGCTCTGGGGTTTGCTGTTAACAATTTGAAGAGCTAGTTAGCATATTTATGTTTCTAGCTGTTAGTTTCTATCTGTTTTAGACATTGAAAATTTGTCAACAAGGTGGATTCAGCAAAGTGTACATTATATTCAATGTTCAGTGGTAGAGAACAGAAATATCTATTTGCCTGTGGCTGGAACTTTAAAATACAAGCCTTACAACTTGCCACACCAATCACATGTGTGGGTTTGCAAAAAAATGTTTCAAAGAAAGAATTTTTAACATGCACTTATGGCAGGAAAGTTATTCAGAAATATCAGTCTTTTAAGACCAAAATCCTAACAGATAAAATTAATTAGTAATACATCATGGCTTCACAGTTTGACAGAAGAGAGAAAAAAGAGCTTTCACCTCAGGGTTTTTTTTTTTTTTGGTGGGGAATTCAATCCCATAAAATTCTGAAGAACATAAAATCTAAGTGCTTCACTTCTCAGGAATGATTTTGCAGCAGGCTGATGGTCTTAACAAAGGACATATACACACCAGTACAGCCAGTTGTCTTGGACCGAGAATGGCGGTGACTAGTATTTATTTGTTTTAAATGACTTCTGTTGCTGTGTGTCTTGAGGTCTTTGGACTCAACATCTCAGGGAACTTACAGAGCTTACACATCCCTCTGCAGTGTGAGATAGATGCAAAATTGCTCAGCTCTGTAAAGGTGGAGACAGTTGTGTCTGTACACAGCAGCAGAGCTATGGGCAGCTTGAGGCATACAAGAGAGTTCTAGGACGTGGCTAAATTTGCAAGTGACTTAAATCATATTTTAGGTGTCAGAACACTTTTTTGTACATCTGATCCATGGTCTGAAGACAAGAGATTGACAGATGGGCCAGACAGGAAGACCTGAAGTAATCAAGTGAGATGGAAGAGTGAACTTTCAAGGGCTAAGTAGAAAAGTTGGAAAGGAATATTTCATTCCATGCTATTAAAGATTTCCTTCTGTGAACAAAGGACTTCTGGTGAGGCAGTTCTCTGGGAGCCAGGAAGCACATCTGGTTTAACCATTTTGATTGTATCAGATGATTTTGGTGTTGGAAAAAGCTGACTGTCCACCAAAAAGGACAATATTTGTATGGCCTTTATTAAATTGTTTGCAGCTTTATTAAACTCACTGATAGCTGAGTTGTGTCACTGGTTTAAAAGGTGAACTTGCGCTCTAGGCTTGTGGCAATATTTCTTTGAAGTACATAAAATTCATTTAGAAAATTACATAATTTCAAAGGAAGCTATGAAATGCATAATGGAATTAAGGTGTACTTTGACTCTCTGAAGGGATGGTGCAGGCATGGAACTTGCTAACATCATTCAGAAAGTAGAATCTAATTTTCTAAACTCAGTGACAAACTAATTTGTACATATTTTTCCATTTGTTATAGAAATAGACACTAAAGCTACAGAAAAATAAGTTGTGAATTTTACATATTTCTATGTGCTATCAATAGAATTTGTACTGTTATCTAAAGGTAGCAGGTAAAGAACAAAAAAGTTCCACCTGTACAAATGTACTGTAGGCAGAATAAAAGAGGAGAGAAAAATTATCCACTGAAAGCTTTATCTCATGAAGCTTGAGGAAACCCCCCAGGTCTGCTTGGATTTTTTACAATGTCTATTTGCAAATTTAACAAACCTGATACCAAAAATCTTTGAAATTCCAACCTGAAATTCTACAGTATCATTTACACATGTTTCTGTCAGAGAAGAATGGCACTTGACAGAGGGAAGAACACAAAATTGAACATAAAATTCAGAATTATGTGAATAAAATATATATGCAGGGACACAGAATTTATTTAAATTATTCAATAAATCATAGTAAAAATAATGTGGGATTAAATGACAGCTGGAAAAATAGCTCAAGATTAACACCCCTAAATTACAAATACACCTCTTCTAATTTTGTTCTTACTTAAATTCCATTATATTCCAGATGAGTCAATAAAGACTAAAAATGTGAGATAAAACATATTTGGTTGTTACTGATTTCAGATAGGAAGGCTCATGACAACACAAATCTCAGCGGTGAGCAAAAATAGAGAAGATGGAAGATTGATCTCAAATAGTTTCATAAATTAGCCTTGAATTAATCAACTAAAAATGTCTGCTTTAAAAATGGAATTAATTAGCTAATGTCTCAGCATTAGCTAATGCTTAAGTGTTATGAAGATATAAAGGACTTCATCGAAGCTAATTGTTATTGTTTCTATTGTTAATTAAGATACATCAGAAGTAAACAAAATACATGCAAAACATCTTGCCACTGGAGAAAGATGGAACGTACATTAAATATTTAAGAAGATAACTCATGTACTCAGATCAATCTCTGTGCTGTAGGGCAGGTACACACTTGTCTGCATAATACTAAAAAAATTGCATCCTTTATATAAGAAAGGGTCAAACGCTTCAATTAGAAGCAAGTAAAATATAATCTATCCACGTATGGAATGTATACATCAACAAAACTCTACAGAATTCAGACAATACTTTCACTATGATATTAAAAAAATATCAGCATATTTAATACCTTCACATCCTCTTTCTATTTGCCCATTGCAGAAGAGAGCATCTGAGATTAGATCAGGGAGCCGTCCATTCAAGTCAACTGATGCAAGACAGCCTTGGAACCCCTCTTTTGCATGCACCAGTTTTGGCAAGGACTTATACATCTCTTTAGCCACTCCTCCAATATACAAATCACCTGTTAAGGAGAAACAAATATTAGATAAAACCCTGTAGAATCTTTGACCTTCTCGATCTTCTGGCCTTTTTATGCTGAATAACAGGTATCTTGGAAAAACATTCTTCAAAATAAATGTAGGAGAAAACACTGATAGCTTATATGATGTGAAAAGACATTGCAGGACTATAATTTTTCAAATGCATACGTAGACTTCACATTTGCATGACTAATTACTTAGAAGTACCTGGACATGTTATTTATGGGTCAGCTCATATATACAGGAAATATGCATCTATTTCACAGAGGAGGGTTCAGTCACAGAATTTACATCTAGACATGCATCTACCACTGATGCATAACGTTAGCATAATCAGGGAACCTGACCACACATCATCCCAATTATGGATCCAGCAGACTGAGAAAAAAGGCAATAAGTGGAGCACCAAGATCCACTTAAAGTCCATACATCCAGAATCATCTGTTTAAAAGCACGTAAAGAAATAAAGGATTTAGGGACACATCTAAGGAGAATCTTAGGGATACCATTGTTAAGCAGTGAAATGGGTGATTCTCCCCATGAAAATTCATACCCTGTGTCAGTCATGTGGGAACAGAGGGAGTTAGATGCCTTTAAAATGGCAATTTGCACACTGAACAAACAGAATTTTATTGCCAAAAATAATTCTGATGACAGTCACTATTACAAACAGCTCTTTTTGATGAACCTCAGGCAACTTACTCAGGACTGAAAGCTAATGCTTTTCTCCCTTTTCATGATTCATAGCACTGAGACTAACTTTGCAAGGACATAACTATCACTTTTCTCTTACATACCAAGGGAGGGGATGCTTTTTTGGTTTACAACAATTACAGGCTGTGCCTTTCTTTCATGTGTTTGATATCTCTGGCAGGCATAACAGTGATCTTTCAAACTAACATATCCTACCTCCCTAAAGTGTGCCTTATGTGTCAGACTATAGGTTTAACTAGGTGTGTTCCATACCTGTTGCTGAAGAAATGAATCTGAGCTTTGCTTGTCCAGAGAGGGGAAGTAGGCTCAGTGTGAACAGAGTCCTAGCTAAAAGGCTTTAGTCCCTCTCCTGGCAGGCAAGAAGCTTGATTCTTTCAGTTACAGACAGAAAGGAATAAAACCATGTTTCCTACATCTTGCACGAGTCTACCATCCTGCTCTGTTATCCTCTAACTCAGAAAAACCAGCTGTCTTTGCAAACTTGGTGGGAATGCTCTGAGCATGCCTCCAGGCAAGCCCCTTTAGGCACACAGGAGTAGGACCAGGTGAGCTTCTGAGAATTATTGAACCTGTTTGAAGGAAGGTGCTTATAGGAATCCAATTCTCAAGCATCACCCAGTATCAAAATTGCTACCCTACCCTATACATTAAATCCTTGTTGATAACATGTTTTGTGCTATTACAAATTTTCAATAGATGATCCGAATATACTTTCTAATCTCTAGTGTGTCCCCCACCCTGGATGACTTTGGAGCCTAGGCTAAAGTATGCACCAAAGAGTGTTTCTGCATAACTTAAAAAAGCAAAATTGTTCATTTCCCAAGTGTTTACCAAGCTTTGTAGACAGATTTTATAGCAACAGAACTCAGAAGGTACTAGCTATCATCACTACCCCATGTGGCTAATTTTAATCTCCCTCTTATCAGTATAAGACACAGTCACACCTTTTCCTGGTTCTGGCATACTTGCTTGTTTGCAAGGGAGTGCAATTTAGTGTTGTTTGCAATGGTTTACAGCTTGCCTGCAAGGAAATGGCCTGAAACAAACAAATGTCTATCAGACTGAAAAATTTTTAGTCACTGCATACCAGCTCTAAAACTCAACTGGTTTTGATTTAGTGAAATGGAGATAAAAAGCTTAGGAACATGCATATTATTAATCTCATAAGCCATCCAACCAAAAGTTTTAGTAACCATTATAACATCAGGTACTAAGAAACCTCAAGCTTTTTCCATTCCACATAAGCATTTTGAAAAATAAGATATTGCTTTCCTCTACAGAGCTTTGAGGTACAGTATAAATCTCAGAAGCATGATATCAGACAAAACAGATTAAAATATGGTGATCCATATGTTTGCACAAATGGGATGTAATTCATTCATAGCAGAAAAACTTCTGTATTTTTCAGCCAGCTGAGCTGGAAACAAAGTCAAAACTTTTGCTACATGATAAAGGTTCTTTACCTTTTTCTCAGGTGGAACACCTACGAAGTAAAACCCTTCCAGGATTCCTGACATTCTGTACCTTCAGTCATTGTCAACTTGGAATAGAGAGATAATTCATCTCAACTGATTCCAATGAACTTAAAAGAGAGAAACTCTAGAGACCAATACTAAAAAAAGTCACACCTATGCTAAAATAATTAAACTTGGTCTACTGGACATGACACATGCAAGCTCTTTTTAAACCTCCCGACATGCATATTTGTCCATACAACCATTTTTATTCTGTGGTTGGTTAAACCTTTAAAACTGCAAACTTTCAAATCGATCCCCTGCTAATTCCCATGATCCATCCCTCAAGCATATTGAGATTGTTATATGCAGTCATATAGCAATTGTCAGTTATGATTAATGGCTAGTAGAAGTCCAGGTCAGTGTGCCAACATATGAACCTGAACTCAGAATATTTACCCTGGAATATTACTCAGAATATATACACTGGAATATTTTCAAAGAGGTATTATATGGGCAGAAGTATCATACATTAAGTTGAGTCGAAATAAACTGTAACTACTGTTTATTTACAGTTCCTTAAGACTATTGTTAATTAGAACTGATCATTATATACTATTGAAGATACAGTTTCCAAAGACGTGTTCTGGGCAATATTTTAACTTTGTTAATGTTCCAAATAACTTGAGTTCTGCTTCTCGCTAGCTAATGCACTACACTTATACCTATCAAATGTATTGAGCAGCCATACTGACTACCAGATTTCACTTTTCATAAAGTATATACAAGTGGTTTTATATGATCATGGGCTAAACCTTTCCCAGATTTAATATCAAGTGTGGATTGAGTTTGCTGCTGATGGCATAAAAACACACTTTCTGTCAGAGACAAAATGTTACTAAAGGATAAACTTTGGAATGAAAATTTTTTCACTTGGTTATTTTTTCATATCTGCCATCACAAATGTTTTGTACAGCTACTTTTAAGTTAATCACATGCTTCATTTTCACATCCATGTCAATGAAGAAGTGGTTTCTTACAAAACTCAACCATTAGAAATTCAGACAAGACAATTGCAGAAAACATTAATGAATATATTTGTATATTGAACCTGCATTAACATAGGGCCAGAGAAGATAAAGCTTGCTTCTGCTCCCACTAAAAGAGGTCAGAGGACTCAACACAGTATGATACAAATTCTCAGATTTTCTCCTCTTTTTCACTTCTGTAAGTACAGCTTTATTACTGGCAGTGTTACACGATCTAGAACAGGATTAATCCCTTGTTGTGTATTCGCCTACTTACTCTTATGAATTACAGGTAAGTTATTTCATTAATTAAGGTATCACAGTTCATCAGACAAATAGTATGAGATCACTATGAGTTTAGACACTATCTAAACTTGTTGCAGCCAAAATTCAATACTAACGCAATACTGTTACCGCTGAAAATGCGTGACCATTTCAGGAGTTGTTGTCAATGGTAAATGCAATTCTATTTCTTTCTTTCAACAGATGAGTATTTTTTAAAGTACATATAGAAAGGGATATACTTGTATTAGAGTGCTAACCATAGTTTCTGGATCTAAAGTTTAGCTATTACTTTTCGTGTATGTATTTTCTTCTGAAGTTTATTTTGATTTTTAAATGTATTCCTGAAAAAGTCTCAATTTTTTTCATAACCATCCTGACTTTTCTTAATTTATAAAGGAAAATAATCAATTTATATAAAATATATCAAGTAGCATAAACAAAGTATCATAAAGAAATGGGTGAAGAAATAGAGTGCTCCAAGATTTCTTTCCGATGTCTAGACAACCTTCAAATAAAGCACTGTATTTGAGAGCAGGTACTCCTTAATCTCACAACTTTCTTCTTTCTTATATTAGAAGTCACTACACAGAGTTACCCCCTTTTACTTAGAGAGGGAGCATAAATTCCTCTCTTAATTTTTCTGAGGCCAAAAAAAAAAAAAAAAGCTACAGTGCTTCTCACTGGCACGTTCTTTACAGGTCAGATGACTGATTGGAAGGCAGCACATTCAGAGCTATATCTATAAATTACGGCAATAATAGTACTGGTCAGTTATATCATAAGCACTGATAAAAGAGTTTAGTGGGTTTAATTTATATCTTTTACAGGTAATAAAGACCTTAATTTATTCCAACAGGAGCTTTCCTATTCACACCTATGTATCTCTTTTTTGACTTAGACCTGATTTGTGCTTTGAGGAATAAGTGAATTTAACACACAAACAAATTGATAGCTAATAAAGGAATCCAACTTTTCAATGTATTCATTACTGAAATCACACTTAGGAAAAAACACACAGAACCACACAACAGTGAGTCACACACAACTGTTGGTGAAACAAATACTGCCAAATTCTTCTGTAATAACTCATTTTTTTTTATCCCAAGTCTCTACATTTCTTCAAAATAGAATTTTGCAAATGCTAAACCAAATAAATGTAAAATAGAAACTGAAGATGCTGTTCTACTTATTTATTTTCTGAACAAGTAACAGAAGGACAGAATCATAGAATGGTTTGGGTTGGAAAGGACCCTAAAGATCATCCAGTTCCAACCCCACTGCCATCAGCAGGGACACCTTCCACTAGACCAGGTCACTCAAAGCCTCATCCAACCTGGCCTTAAAACACTTCCAGGGAGGGGTCATCCACAACTTCTCTGGGCAACCTGTGCCAGTGTCTGACCACCCTCACAGGAAAGAATTTCTTCCTAATATCTAATCTAAACCTACCCTCTTCTAGTTTAAACCCATTACATCTTGTTCTATCACTCCCTGCCACTG